ACCGCTAAATAAATTTAACAATTATTATACGAAAACTCAAAACATTAATTGAGGAAAAATTATTAAACTGAAAATAATTTCAAGTTAAAATTTTAAAGGTGTCTTTTGACATCTTTGGTAGAAGTAGTGTTAAGGGGCTTGGATATTTCCGACGTCCTCGAGAAAAATCTCTCCCTGTGAAGACCAACCCTTTGTCGGGAAGATCAGGCATGTTTCCTATTATAGGAGTCCCAAGGGACCCCCACAGTCGTCCCGGTGTTTACAAATGCCGGAAGAAGGGCCCGGGACTCTTCGCTCCGGTTTTCGGTGAACCAGAGAAGACGCGGCGGACAAACGGCGCATCCCTCGGGACGCCGTCCCGTTGGGAGAGGACGCCTCGAAAAATCCCCCGGGAACCCCCGCCGGTCGGTCGGACGGCCGCTATATGGAGTTGTCAAAGCGCCGACACGGTGACATCCCTATTATCGCGTGTACCACAGATAGGAAGCCCCGGACGGTGACGGCCCCCGAGAGGGGACGCGTGCCACCGAGATAACGCATCTTCCGATGATAATCCCCCTCGGCCGCGTCCCGGGGCACGCATATGGCGGAACCCATGACTGTTAAGCAGACCAGAGGAATCGGCGTCGGCCCACGTCCCGTTGACTCGCCGATCCGATTCGCACCCTTGACCTGGCCGTTTATTACGTATTTTGTCACGGGAGCGCTCACTTCTCGCACTTTCATCTCACGTGGGTTTAGTCGCCGAATTACGTATTCGCTATATGAAATAAGGTTGTAGGCAGGGAAGGCGGGAAGGTGGAAAGCCATTAAAAGCAAACAAGAGGACTCGAGTCTATCTATATTTCTTTAAATATGTATTACATTCGTATTTACATGCACTATAATTAAAAGTTCAACGATATAATTTTCTTATCGTGTCATGTAGGCGTGAATTATTTAACACTTTTCAATGTTTTATAATGGAATGTAACCTTGCAATAACGAAGAACTAACCTGTACATCCTAGTTAATTCTTTTTCTTCTAATAAGAGCGTTTATTACGTATTTTGTCACGAGAGCGCTCACTTCTCGCACTTTCATCTCACGTGGGTTTAGTCACCGAATTACGTATTCGCTATATGAAATAAGATTGTAGGCAGGGAAGGCGGGAAGGTGGAGAGTCATTAAAAGCAAACAAGAGGACTCGACTCTATCTATATTTCTTTAAATATGTATTATATTCGTATTTACATGCACTATAATTAGAAGTTCAACGATATAATTTTTTTATCGTGTCATGTAAGCGTGAATTATTTAGAAGAGGACTCGAGTCTATCCATATTTCTTGAAATATGTATTACATTCGTATTTACATGCACTATAATTAGAAGTTCAACGATATAATTTTCTTATCCTGTCATGTAAGCGTGAATTATTTAACAGTTTTCAATGTTTTATAATGGAATGTAACCTCGCAGTAAGGAAAACTAACCTGTACATCCTAGTAAATTCTCTTTCTTCTAACGAAAATGGGTCTGAGGCATCACGTAATTCGCTTCTTCTTCTAATATAGGCGTTTATTACGTATTTTGTCACGAGAGCGCTCACTTCTCGCACTTTCATCTCACGTGGGTTTAGTCGCCGAATTACGTATTCGCTATATGAAAGAACGGGATCACCAGTACTTCCGGTCTAGTAATATCGCCAAATAAGGTTGTAGGCAGGAAAGGCGGGAAGGTGGAAAGCCATTAAAAGCAAACAAGGGAACTCGAGTCTATCTACATTTCCTTAAATATGTATTACATTCGTATTTACATGTACTATAATTAGAAGTTCAACGATATAATTTTCTAATCGTGTCATGTAAGCGTGAATTATTTAACGTGAATTATTTAGAAGAGGACTCGAGTCTATCCATATTTCTTGAAATATGTATTACATTCGTATTTACATGCACTATAATTAGAAGTTCAACGATATAATTTTCTTATCGTGTCATGTAAGCGTGAATTATTTAACAGTTTTCAATGTTTTATAGTGGAATGTAACCTCGCAGTAAGGAAAACTAACCTGTACATCCTAGTAAATTCTCTTTCTTCTCATGAAAATGGGTCTGCGGGATCACGTAATTCGCTTCTTCTTCTAATAAGGTTATTATTACATCCCCGAATACGAGTGTTGCTAAAAATCAAATCACCCTTGAGGTTTTCCATTTTGAATTTCGGTGTCACAATCCGTGGAAGATCTTTTCTTGTATGCTTCACCATTTCGCTTAAAAATTTGAGCCGAGCCAGTTCATATGAATGGTCTCGCATTTTCACCACCAAAAGTGTTCGTAATACCGTGAGCTCCTCATTTTTCACATTTTCGCTTAATTTGCTTTACGTAATAAACCCCCTGATTGGTCGAACGATTGCAAGAGAATGCTGGCTTGCTCTGAATCTAACACCTGTTTTTAGAGCAAAAATTTAGTTGCAGCTAAACGTCACAGATGGCGACCATGGTCCTAAACAGTCGTGAGAATAATGAATTCCCGGGATTTCGACAGTTTTACGACAATCTCTTCGTCATTACTTCACCGAAATGACATATAGAACCCTTCAGTTCGTATAATTCTCAACGTAGACTGCAAAAGACTTCAACATAAATATAAATGTCGGAAACGGCACGCGCCAGCTTATGTTCCCCCTTGAGTATTCAAAACACCATTCCCCCCAAATAGGGTATAGATGAATTTTATTTTACCGACGTCGATTAAACTTCTTAGCGCCTTTCATATCCTCTTAAGGAGGAAGAACTCTTGATCCCCACCTCTGACCTCCTTGAGTCCATCTCATACTTCCCAGCCTTCCGCAGCATCCGCTGGACCATCACCCCATCCCCCTGAATATCTAATTTTTTTTACTCATCCCCCTAGAACATCATCTCCTTTTCTAAATCAGTTCAAAAAGAGCCATCCCTGACCTGCCCGAAACTCTCTGAAATTTCCCAACCCCCGCAGCATCCACTGGACCACCTCCTAATCTTCCGCGATTTCGCCAATTTTCGTGGTTCGCCAATTTCCTAAGTTCCGCTCGGTTTTTCAGGACCTCTTTTAGGAGTCCGACTCCCTGCGCGGGGTCGACTCTCTTCGGGGTAGCGACGGTGTCCAGGGTGTCGCGCGAGGGTGGCCGCGCCTCCCTTCGGGTCCGTAATGAACGCGCAGCCACCTTGAACCGGGAAACGGATGAACGGGCACAGCCGGGCTCGCCGAGGGAGTAGCCACTGAAAGGGGATGTCCTCTCTCTGTGCGATGAAAGCACCCTTCCCTGCGGCGCCCGGCCGGCCGCTTTGGCTCCTTTTCCACCCCGGAGGGGGGACAGCGTGTTATAAGCCAGCCATCGACGCCTCGCTGATCTGACGCGATTATACGAGACTTTTTTCAGGACGTCCAAGTATCTGCTGCCTGGCTGCGCCCCAGAGCCGAAGGGTCCGACTCGAGCCGAGGACTGACCGATAGGGACCGATACGGTCCGATAGGGACCGCAGGGTCCAGCGAGGAACAAGCTTCGCTCGAGGTGCAGTTTCGAGCTCCAGACCAGCATCCGAGTTATCTGGGTTAATGCGAGAGATTCGATGTCGAGATGAATGAGGTGATGCCGGATGGACCCTTCTTGGAAGAGATTTTCATGGGGTCCGAATCACCTGGCTGTAGGTTTCGCTTCAAACGAGGAATGGCGAATAGGGACCGCAGGGTCCAGCGAGGAACAAGCTTCGCTCGAGGTGCAGTTTCGAGCTCCAGACCAGCATCCGAGTTATCTGGGTTAACGCGAGAGATTCGACTGCGAGATGAATGAGATGATGCTAGGTGGATTATTCTTGAAGGAGATCTTCGTCGGGTCCGAATCATCTGGCTGAAGGTTCCTCTTGAAACGAGGAATGGCCGATAGGGACCAGCGAGGAACAAGCTTCGCTCGAGGTGCAATTCTAAGCTTCAGACCAGCATCCGAGTTATCTGGGCTAACGCGAGACATTCGATGTCGAGATGAATGAGATGATGCTGGGTGGATCATTTTTGAAGATCTTCGTGGGGTCCGAATCACCTGGCTGAAGGTTCCTCTTGAAACGAGGAATGGCCGATAGGGTCCAGCGAGGAACAAGCTTCGCTCGAGGTGCAGTTTCGAGCTCCAGACCAGCATCCGAGTTATCTGGGTTAATGCGAGAGATTCGATGTCGAGACGAATGAGATGATGCTGGGTGGATCATTCTTGAAGGAGATCTTCGTGGGGTTCGAATCACCTGGCTGAAGATTCCTCTTGAAGCGAGGAAAGGTCGATAGGAACCGCAAGAACCAGCGAAAAACAAGCTTCGCTCGAGGTGCAATTCCAAGCTTCAGATCAGCATCCGAGTTATCTGGGTTAACGCGAGACATTCGATGTCGATATGAATGAGATGATGCTGGGTGGATCATTCTTGAAGGAGTTCTTCGTGGGGTCCGAATCACCTGGCTGAAGGTTCCACTTGAAACGAGGAACAGCTGATAGGGACTGTAGGGACCAGCGAGGAACCAGCTTCCCTTGAGGTGCAGTTTCGAGCTTCAGACCAGCATCCGCGTTATATGGGTTAACGTAAGAGATTCGATGTCGAGACGAATGAGATGATGCTGGATGGATCATTCTTGAAGATCTTCATGGGGCCCGAATCACCTGGCCCTTCATTTTTACTCTTATTCCCTATTAAGGTTAGAGAAGGTTAGGTTAAGAAGTCCCCCATTTCGTTGTTTTTTATCGGAACGTTTTCCAAGATATGACTTTTGCTCATCTCAAACAGATCTTTTTGTAAAATCTGAACATTCTAACGGATAAAATGATGCTCCCTCCTCATTTCATATCCATGCCTAATTGATAAAATGAGGATGCTGTGCCTAATAAAATTAGAAAACATTCCGATAACAAATCAACGAAGCAGTCGCCATTGAGAAGAAGAAGCGCTACCAGGCGGTATAATGTTAAGAAGAATGTGACACGAGTCGAGCATCCTTACCCCGTGTGGAAGAATCGGACTATCAGGACTAAACTGGTGATGGACGCGCACAACATGGCTACCAGCCCGATGATAAGCAGGACGACTCCCAGGACGAGCCTCCATTTAAACCTGCCGTAGTTCCCGTAGTTGACGACGAGGTAGAGGGTGCAAGGGATGAGGACTCCTAGGGTGGCAATACAAACCGCTCCCACCAGGCCCAGAAAAAGGTCCAACTTCGGGATAGCAGCTCCCAGAATACCTGAAGAGGTCCCCGAAGTGTCACCCTGACTCGCCTCTCTTCGTTAGATCACTTAGTTAATTATAAGTCTACGAGACAAACCACGAAGGCTAGCAAGATAACCCTCGAAGAGTTCCTTACAAGTGACTAGGCTGACTCCAATGCGAATCACCAGGTCCCAGAAATATGGCGTCCCCTTGAAAATCCCTTCCTGGATAGCAGGCAACGCATAGTCCTTGTTCAGGATCATGATGGGCATGTAGCACTGTAGACCGTATGAGAAGTAGATGGCCAGGGCTTGCATGATCAGCGCGGTCATGGTGGCCCTGAAGAAGAGGAAGATAAAGGACTATTGCTCTTCAAGATACCCTTAGAGTCCATTTCGTCTCAACTCACGGGTCATTTTCCACGTGGTTCCTGATGAAGTTGCCCACAGCCTCCGAGCCCCACTTCAAGTACCCAACAACACCCACGAAAACGTGGACCATTATCAGCACCGCCATTCCCCAGTTCAGAACTCCACAGGGCTTCAGGTAGTTCTTCGGCTTCTTCATGCAGTGCTCGATCTCCAAGATCTGTGAAAAAAGAATGGGATATGAAGATGAGACTGAAGAGCTGAGGTATTATTTACCCTGAGAGGTGGTTGCCTCAAAGTACGCATGCCAACAAAATCCTGCGATCAAAGAAATGTCAAATTGAGTAAAGAAAATGATTTTATGTAGGGTAAGTCCGGGATATATGGACCACCGGTATAGACGGACAAGTCGAATATTTGACTGGGGTGTCACAGCAGCGCTGCAGTCGTTGTCTGAAGTTGTTCTTCTTGAGTAGACGGAACCACGCTTAGTTTTGCTCATGAGTTTCATGCGTATTTTAGAAGAAAACTTTGTTTATTTCTTTTGGTGAGTTGAAAAATATTTTATACTGGATTTATTTGATATGTGGTTAAGTTAGTTTAAATGATTTCGACGTAAGATCAATCCTATAACTCAAGTGTATACTTGAGTACAATCTTGACCTAAAATGGCATGCCGGTAGCGTTGATTGTCCGGACGCGAAGCTGGTCCATCTATCCCCGACAATTGGGATAGATGGACTACTTGAAAAAACCTGGGATAGGCGGACCATATCTCCTATTAGGGCTTTACTTTCTATATAAATGGATATATGGATGAATGGATGGATGGATGGATGTGAATATAAATCAGACTACCTATATTTTCTAAGTATATTGACTATCAAATTTACTTATCCTTTTTCAAATAGTTTATAACTCTATAGTAATCACTTTTCAAGCAGTTTATAACTTTATACTTTGAAATGAACAATGTTTATACCTTTGATAACATGGATTTCTTGTGTTACACCCTGATTTAGTAACGTATACCAGAGGTCCATCAATCCCTAGGAGGTGGTCCATCTAACCCGAGTACCCCCGGGATAGATGGACTACCGAGTAAAAAAAACAAAAAAAACATAACTTCAAGTGTGATTAGTGTAACAGCTGGAGAAGTGCTTACAATTGTTCAAGGTCATATATACATATTATAAAAAAATATACCAAATCCTAGACATTGCGAAGTTTCAGAAAAAATGACTTTAAAAAAACATGGTCCAACTATCCCGGACTTACCCTATACTGTCTGCCTAACTCACCAAGCCTGGGGAACACATGCTGAAGAACACCGTGCCCAGGAACTTGGGGTATAGTTCGATCTTCTCCTGCACCATGACGTGGGTGGTGCCGATGCCGTCCTTCAGGGAGTAGACCACCCCGATGATGGCGGCCGTGAGGAGGAAGGTGTTCCCTACTGCTGAGAGCGGCGCCAGGTCCTTCAGGTTCCTCGTCATGTTCATCGCCAGGAACAAGGGGAACAGGATAAGCGCATAGTAACCTTGGCTGATGGTCTTCTCCGCGTCTACGCATTCCTGGACGATCCCGGAGATGAACACCACGTAGACTGCGCCGATGCCTATGTAGCAGGTCATCATGGCCACGTCGACGATGCTCCTGGGTGAGTGATTTCCAGGGTTAGGGATGAAATTGGCGTTTGGACGATTTTCTTAGGGTACCAACACCATCACGTCAGGATCCACCTTGCTCTTCAGAGCTCCTGTTGAGAAGGCCACTTCGCAGACCTCGTCGTACGCCAGGACTGGCTTCTTTTGTCGCATGCAGAGCTCATAGTGAATTTGCACCAGGAATTGGACGGCCACGGTGATGAGGACCCCCACGACGACCGTTCCCACGACGCCCACCAGCATCCCGACGCACGCGAAGGCGTTGGGGATGGCGAACAGCCCTGTCCCAGCGGCGCTCTTCACCAGGTTCACCCAGGATCCAGCGTCTCTGAAGAAATACATTTAGTCTTGTTTTAACCCTTTGAGGTCGGTGCCGCCAGCCTGGCGGCATGATGTCATTAGTGGTCATGAAACAACTTTCTGTAATTTATACATAGAGAGTAAAAAAAAAAGTTTGCTAAATTTGCACCGACTAGATGGTACTCGCATCAGAGAAATTTGCCGATCGCAAAGGGTTAACTTAACTCGGATTGAAGACAAAAATTGAAGAGGAGAAGGAGTGCCTTCAAGAGGGAAAGAAAAAACATGTTGAAGAGAGAAATGAAGAAGTATCTTCAAAGAGGAAACAGGAAGTACCCTAATAGCACAAAATATTTGTCCTACATTTTCTATATATTTAACGAATATCGTACGTTTTGGAAATATTTAGCAGACATTTGAAATATTTGCAAAACATTTACTTTAAAATATTATCATTTTAATATTTGTACAAAATTAGCTCCACGTGTTTTCATAATATTTTTCTAACGGATAAACAAAACATTTCGTTTCATTTTAATATAAGTATTATTGTCAATATTATCTGCCGAATACATTATAAACGTATTGAAAATATTTAAAATCAAAATCGCAAGTTTTGCTCTCATAATGAAATACCGGGACGAAAATATTACAAAAGTTTGTTGNATAGTACGATACTAGTTTTTCTTGCGAGCGGTGCTCGTAAGGGTCGTAAGCTTCTTCGGCATCTTCTTCGAGGCCCCCGACTTCTCGGCGCTCACTGGTGGAGGGCTCTCTGGAAATTGATAAAGAATTTAAATACCTTTCGCTATCCTCTTTTCCAAAATTTGGGACATTTCTGGGTAGGTGTCGATTCCTCGAGAACTTACTGGGACATGGCTTCTCTTCGGGTCTTCGGGGTTAGATCGAAGCAGGATCCACCATCGAGTTACTGCCAAGATTCGTGCCAGCAATCGTTCTTTGAAATAACTTTAGAAGAGCTCTTGTCAACGATTTCGATTTTTTCTTTTTTACTCTTCTAGGTTAAGGCGAGATAAAAGAAGACCACGACCGGAAAAGATCGGTCGTGCAGGTCACTTCTCTGCCGACTGGACGGGCCCCTCGAGAGGCGACCCTAGTAGCATAAAATATTTCTCCTATATTTTCTATACATTTAACGAATATCCTACATTTTGTAAATATTTACCAGACATTTGAAATATTTGCCAAACGTTTGCTTTAGAATATTATCCCTATAATATTTATATAATATTACCTCCGTGTGTTTTCTGAGTAATCCCTAGTAGCATAAAATATTTCTTTTATATTTTCTATATATTTAACGAATATCGTACATTTTGGAAATATTTAATAGATATTTGAAATACTTGCAAAACGTNAGGCGACCCTAGTAGCATAAAATATTTCTTTTATATTTTCTATATATTTAACGAATATCGTACATTTTGGAAATATTTAATAGATATTTGAAATACTTGCAAAACGTTCACTTTAAAATATGATCTTTTTAATTGCTTAAATTAGAAGACAAACCTTAGGAAGTCTTTTCCCTGAAATCGTAATTTGGTATTGATCGTTAACGCAGTGGGGCTGCCGATGCGCAAATATGCACCCGGGGACAAAATGTACAACGAAATGACGATTGGTTAAATCTGGACAGATCGAAATCAGAAGACGAGCCTTAAGAAGGTAGATTTTTCCCTGACAAGGTGGTAATAGGGCTGCCGATGCGCAAATATGCTACCGGGAACAAAATGTAGAACAAAACGGCAATTGGTTAAATCTGGACAGGTCGAAATTAGAAGACGGGCCCTAAGAAGGTAGATTTTTCCCTAAAAAAGTAATACGTGGTCCCTGTACACGTGCGAGTCGCCAGTCGTCGGATATGTACCATTTGGCTCTGACTGGTGCTCGTCGGATAGCGGTTAACGCAATGGGGATACCGATGCGCAAATATGGTCCCGAGGACAAAATGTAGAACAAAACGGCAATTGGTTAAATCTGGACAGATCGAAATTAGAAGACAAACCTTAGGAAGTCTTTTCCCTGAAATCGTAATTTGGCATTGATCGTTAACGCAGTGGGGTTGCTGATGTGCAAATATGCTCTCGGGGACAAAATGCACAACGAAATGACGATTGGTTAAATCTCGACAGATCGAAATTAGAAGACGAGCCCTAGGAAGGTAGATTTTGCCCTGAAAACGTAATACGTGATCCCTGCCCACGTGGGAGTCGCTAATCGTCGGATTTGTACCATTTGGCTCTGGCTGGTGCTCGTCGTATAGTGGTTAACGCAATGGGGTTGCCAATGTGCAAATATGGACCGGGGACAAAAGGTACAACGAAATGACGATTGGTTAAATCTGGACAGGTCGAAATCAGAAAACGAGCCGTAGGAAGGTAGATTTTGCCCTGAAAAGGTAATACGTGATCCCTGCGCACGTGCGAGTCGCCAGTCGACGGATTTGTACCATTTGGCTCCGACTGGTGCACGTCGGATGGCGGTTAACGCAATGGGGCTGCCAATGTGCAAATATGCACCCGGGGACAAGATGTAGAACAAAACGGCAATTGGTTAAACGGGGACAAGTCGAAGTTAGAAGACGAGCCCTATAAAGGTAGATTTTTCCCTGGCAAGGTGGTAATAAGGCTGCCGATGTGCAAATATGCTCCCGGGAACAAAATGTACAACGATATAACGACTTGTTAAACCTGGATAGGTCGAAATTAGAAGACGAGCCCTATAAATGTAGATTTTTCCCTGGCAAGGTGGTAATAAGGCTGCCGATGCGCAAATATGCTCCCGGGGACAAAATGTACAACGAAATGACGATTGGTTAAATCTGGACAGGTCTAAATTAGAAGACGGGCCCTAGGAAGGTAGATTTTGCCCTGAAAAGGTAATACGTGATCCCTGCGCACGTGCGAGTCGCCAGTCGTCGGATTTGTACCATTTGGCTCCGACTGGTGCACGTCGGATGGCGGTTAACGCAGCGGGGCTGCCGACGGACGCCTCGGCGGACACATTGAGGGCGCCCGCTCGACTCGATAATCGGCTGCCATTCATACACCTTTCATTGGATTGCGATTGAGCATTAAAGAACCGGGCGCGGTGCATTAGCGACGGCGCGTTAGCATTAGGAGGCATCATCTCGAGTGTAAACACGGCATGGGCACCGCGGATTTTGGTCACAGTCTCGCGCCGCGTGACGCCCGCGCGGCCGGGATTAATCGGGCCAGATGTCCGCCGTCTTCGAGGAGAGAAGGAGAGGAAGAGTGGAGAAGAGGTGGCGAAGAGGAGAAGCGGAGAAGAGCGTGCAAGGACCATTGGAATCCCCCGAAAGGGAGACCAGGACGTCCTTTCGTGCGGCTGCGTCTGTTTGCCGACACGTTCTCGATGGCTGGTCCCGCAAGGACTCGAGTCACCGACTCGGTCCCAGGACTCGACCCAGATGTCCTGGAGTCGCTGAAGGGCTGGCACGTGCTCTGGTCCCGTCCTGGGAGCTGCGGGACCGGTCATTCCGGGAAGGTGGAGTTTCGCAACGAACCTGAAGGAAAGGACATCGGAGCTTGCGAACGTCCCGGGGGGCAGGACCAAACTGGACGAGGAAGGACCTGCTCTTCTAGGGCGAGGAAGGAGCTTTAGGAATGAAAGGAGCAGTTTTATGCGATGAACCTGCAAAACTAACATCGAGACGATGAAAGGGTTTGGGGGTATCGCGTGCCCAGGAGTAAAAGGACGTGCCAGGACCTTCCCGCCTGAACTTTCCCTGAGAATGATTGAAGGTTCTTTTATGTAACGCAAGCGTGGTGTACGAGCCTTCCCGCGACTTCCCTAGTAGCACAAAATGTTTCTCTTATACTTTCTATATATTTAACGAATATCATACATTTTGGAAATATTTAACACACATTTGAAATATTTGCAAAACGTTTACTTGAAAATATTATCTTCTTAATATTTGTGTAATATTAGCTCCACGNATAAATATTTTGTGCTACGTCTGGGCAAAATCGATGTTAGAAAAGTCGAAATCCACCCAGGACTTACATTATCCTGGCGGATATCCTTGAATCTACGAAGCCCATCCTGGAGAATCTTTCTCTCGTCCTGCATCGAACTTTCTGGCTGGAAAGTGAAACTTCAGACGATACACCTGCAGGACCTCCTATAAGCGCAGGGCGTCGCGACGGAGCCAGTCACTCGCAAGGGTCGGCCAGGACGAAAAGGATAGGCGCAAAGGGCCAGGACCTTCCCAGGAGCGAGGAAGGACTCGGAGATCTTTCGGGACTCTTTGAGCCCGATCCTTTTGAGCGACCTCGCAGCCTCGCCAGGACGAACTGCGGCCACAATGCGGACCGCAGGATCACAGGACACGGATCCTGGGACGTCCTTTGACCAGCTACGACGAGGATCGATTCGCTCGAGCGAGTCGCTCGGAATAATCGAATCGTCGCTTCGGACCCAATGATTCGCGCCTAACCGGAAATCGAGGATCCCTGATTTTAAGGACGACAATTTTCGGTTGGCTTAAGGACTCGTCGTCCTTATCGTTAATCCCCTTAAACGACCGATTTAAATCCCCTCGCGGGAAATTGAGGAAAAAACGTCCGGGGGACCTTTGGGCCCAGGACCCCTCGGCCCCCTGCCAGGTAATGCCTCCAGGTAATGTCCTGCAGGATTTGCGGCCTGGAATAATTTAACGACGACAACGGCTCGGTTCCCTTGGGACCTCCTATAAGCGCCTCGCAATTAACCGTGGACATCCTGCTACCCCTTTCCTTTTGCACCCCTCGATCCTAGGATCAACCCTTGTTTTCGAATTTCTCCGAATTTCTCCGAATTTCGCAGAATTTTCGGATCTCTCGATATAACTCGCCCAATTTTATTAATCCTGTAAATTGTTATTGAATATTAGAAATTACCGATAATTCTTATAATTTATTTCATTTGCATTGAGCTTGAATTAAATAAAAACGGATCAAATATTTAATTGTAATTGAACATCTAAAATTATCGATAATTCTTATAATTTATTTTATTCGCATTCAGCTTGAATTAAATAAAAACGGATCAAATTTTCAATTGTAATTGAACGTCAGAAATTACCGATAATTCTTATAATTTATTTTATTTGCATTGAGCTTGAATTAAATAAAAACGGATCAAATATTTAATTGTAATTGAACATCTAAAATTATCGATAATTCTTATAATTTATTTTATTCGCATTCAGCTTGAATTAAATAAAAACGGATCAAATTTTCAATTGTAATTGAACGTCAGAAATTACCGATAATTCTTATAATTTATTTTATTTGCATTGAGCTTGAATTAAATAAAAACGGATCAAATATTTAATTGTAATTGAACATCTAAAATTATCGATAATTCTTATAATTTATTTTATTCGCATTCAGCTTGAATTAAATAAAAACGGATCAAATTTTCAATTGTAATTGAACGTCAGAAATTACCGATAATTCTTATAATTTATTTTATTTGCATTGAGCTTGAATTAAATAAAAACGGATCAAATATTTAATTGTAATTGAACATCCAAAATTATCGATAATTCTTATAATTTATTTTATTTGCATTGAGCTTGAATTAAATAAAAATGGATCAAATTTTCAATTGTAATTGAACGTCAGAAATTACCGATAATTCTTATACTTTAGTTTATTTGCATTGAGCTGGAATTAAGTAAACACGGATCAAATTTTTAATTGTAATTGAACATCTGAAATTGTCAATAATTGTCATTAATTGCGGCATCTAAATAACCAATGATCTAGGGTGTAAATTTACATGGGGATTTTTCTCAATGTACATTTTTTATTTTCGCTTAGAATCGTGTGCGCAGGACCGTGA